TATAGTTACCTCCTTGCAAATGTACGTCCTTCTATACATGTGAACTAAGAAGTAGAGAGAAGTGTACTGCCTTTTTTCTTTACAGATTCGCTAGTTATTATCAGAGAAAAGATGAGTTTAAAAAATTCACGCCATCCGTATTTTTGTCAGTGTGTACGTGTTTTAAGACCTCAAATTTCCCACTGCTCTAAATGACAGCAAAACAATTTCTCTTCACCTCATGGGTCCTTAACTTGAGGGCGAAGTTTAAATCAACTTCAGTAGAATAAATTTCACAATTACTAAATAATTGTAAGAACAATTTCTTCTTCTGGGGAAGCATCCTCACCTAAAGAAAGGACCATTTGCCAGAAGTACCAAATAGCATAATCTGATGTTCATAATTTACTCAGTGCTTTTCCAAACGATTGGCATTTTGTTCATGTTTACATTCGTAAGAGAATTCAAGTATGCATTAGTATTTACATCTTCTAAACCAAGAAATGGAGGCAGTTTAGTTCTCCAAAATCCCACAGCTGGGCCAGTAAATTGGTATCATTATCCCTTTCATCCCTGAGAACCACCAGTAGAGTTCAGCAATCTCTGTTGGCACCTTCAGTCAATGCAAGGCACAGGGGCAGAAATGTTGGGGAAGAAACCTGAGAGGGCCAGGCAGAGATACAAAAATTGCTGGAGATGAAAAACTGCATCTAGCAGGGCTAAAGTCATGTCACATTATCTTTTTTTTATTTTTCTTTATTTTTGAGACAGAGTCTCGCTCTGTCACACAGGCTGGAGTGCAGGTGTACGATCTTGGCTCACTGCAACCTCCACCTCCTGGGTTCAAGCAATTCTCCTGCCTCAACCTCCTGAGTAGCTGGGATTACAGGTGCTCTCCACCATGCCTGGCTAATTTTTATGTTTTTAGTGGAGACAGGGTCCCACTATGTTGACTAGGCTGGTCTCAAACTCCTGACCTTAGGTGATCCATCAACCTCGGCCTCCTAAAGTGCTGGGATTATAGGCAGGAGCCACCACGCTCAGCCATGTCGCATTATCTTTACTGCTATTCTGAAGCATTTGTGTTGAGGTTGCCCATTGAAGCATAAGACTGTCCTATCTATAATTTTTGTCTCATCCAACCTTTTTTATTACAGGAAAAATGCTCCTCTAGTACATGCGGTTTTCAAATGCAGTTTGAAAAACCTTATTATCCTTAAACTATTAAGTCTTTGTCTTTGTGTGATAAAGGGGGTGGCTTTCTTTATTGCCTCCTCAAATATAACCCTGATACCATTCTGCAGGAGATGAAGGGAACTAAATTTGGTGGAATGCATACTCCATTTTCAAAAGAACACTGGGTTTTTCCTGTTGTGATTTTTTGGTGGCCTGTTGCTACGCCCTTAACAATTCCATAATCCTGTCAATTCCATCAGCAGTAGACTAAGAATCATTACTGCCTTGGGTGCATAGGCAGCACAGTGACTAGCTAATAAAAGGTGCTCACTAAAAATCCCAGCAATGGTTACGGGTTCTGAAAGACAAGCCAGTGTTCACAGGACCATTGGCTTTATCTCAACAACTTGTATCTTGCATCTTAGAGGCTGATGGCTAGGGTAAGTAATTATCTGGTATTCAGAGAAAACTTAGACTGGGATTTGTATCTATACAAACTACTTTATAGTTTAAAATTTGAAAAACACTGCCAACACACTGACCAGTCTTAGTAAGGGAAAACTATCAGTAAGTTAAAGTTGACTTACAGGAATAATTTTAAATATATATATTTGCAATCAAATAGTATTGAGTATTTTTAGTGAGTCATGGCTTGTGGCTAAAGAACAAATTTCACAAAACACAGATAATTTCACATTATCCTCTCAAATTTTATTTGTATTCTGCTCTAACAAATATAGTATGAAGGCAACAGTTGTTTTTTAGTGTATGGCACAGATGAAAAGAAACAAACAGATTTAGAAGCAGTCCAGCATTTAGATGCTAGTTTAACAAAAGAGGCACATATTATCCTATTTAGCAGTTGATACCAGATATCAGAAGCCATTTTTTTCCTTGCAAGCAACAGACTACATTTATTGGCATTAAGTAAAAACATATCTTGATCAAGAAAATTACTTTTTTTCTGTTTTTCCTTTTTATCACAAATGTCAGGGTAAGGCAAATCCTTAATGAATCATGTGATAAAAACCCTATTCCCCAAGAAAATATATTGAACATATTCTGCTAACTTTGTTATTTTTCAAAGCAAAGCCGACATGCACCACATACAGAGAAATGTCTTTTCAAATCAAGTGCATCAAGCAGAACTGTATTAATTCACAAAGAGGCTTTTCAGCATTTCATAGAAAGATTTACAATTAGCTGTGGTGATTAATATGTGACCCAGTATCACAGACAGTGATTCGGATGCCTTCTTTGTAAGCTTTTATGAAAGAAGACTTGTCCATCATCTGAATAGTTACCAGCTAGAGGAAAAGCCCCTTTGTCTCTCCTACAGCGAGGACCCTTTTAATTAGAACTATTATGTTGACGGCCTACTTTGATCCTCTGTATGCAAACATGACTAATACAGGGCTATTTTCCTCCCTCCCTCCTGTAACCCTTCATGCCACATAGCTGGATTGGAGTTTGGTTGGAAATCGACATCCAGAATTTATGTGCAGGAAAGTCAGTCAGCTTTTCAGATCAATTCCATTGTACAGCCTGTGCAATGGCAGCAACAGCAAATAAAGGTTTTCTGTGTTCAGGTGTCTTTGATCTGGCTATAGTTAGATTGTGAACATTTCACTATTGAATTCAAAATTAACTTTATCATTTTTTAAAAGCATAAAACTGTAGAGCCGAATAGCAACCAAAAAGCATGACGAAGCAAAAATGAAAACCCAGTCTAATTATAGACTGAAGATTAAACCAATTCAGGAGTGAGACTGAAGATATTTTTTTCCTCATTTTCTTAGTTTCCTGGATACAAAGATGACTTATATTATTTTAGAATGTTTAGGCAGAGAACTCCCCCCTTACACTTCTACCCCACCCACATTTAAAGTAAATGAATAAAATGACTGTCATTGATGAGCAGGAGAACGCTAGGGCTGGATGATTCCCATCCTGGCTGTTTTTAGCAAGGACATTAGGTCTCCTCCATCATTGTTCATCTGAAAATCTCTGTCCCTCTGTTTTCCTCGTGGTTTTTTTTTTTTTTTTTCAATTGTAACTTATTACTGAGGCTGAGTAGCACTAACATTTTGGAGTCACAAGAAAACAAGCTTCTAGCAGACTGTACTTGTCAAACACTTCCCCAAGAATGATGGCAACTTTCAACTGAGTTACAAAGATGGCGTGAAATATAGAAACTGTCAATATTTGGATGACATAATTTCTTGGATTTCTTAAAATGAGCCTTTCCTTGCTTTTCTAAAAAGCAACATCTAATGGCAATAGAAGACATAGGTGCTTCCATATCAAACTGGAATAACAACAGGTAAAGGCCATGATCCCACATTATGAGGTTGCATACATGTCATTGCTGCTGCTGTCTTAATTTTATTTTAAAAAATGTGTTAGGATATACTGCCTATGCCCAAGTATAACTTGTTAACTATTCCAGTATATTAAATAAGCCACGCAGAAGCAGTAACAAATTCAGAAAGGCTAAAACCGAAGTCATAGGGAAATAAGAAGATAAATTTTCCATTAAAAGACAGTGTAAAACTGAAGAATTTGATGGGATATTTAGAAAGCAGAACATCCTCTTATTTTAGAAATAATAATCCATTATATTTCTCCCTCTATTAGGAGAAACGATATAAATAAGTTTTAATTCTAAAGCCCTTAATAGGAAGATGGATTTAAGAAGATATGCAACAAATATTATATTTCCAACAACAATGACACGACTTTGGAACCCAGGGAAGCTGTGGGAAGCAGGCATCTGGCCTTATGCTGGCTCTGGGATACAGATCGCTGACGATGCCTGGCATCCTCAGAGTTGCCATCCCTTGTGCCCACTTTACTACTGGCATCTTGGGATTTTAGTACTGCCGCTCCCCTTCAGTGCTGTATCCTCCCCTTCAGAGTCTTCTGGGTGAGGGGACCAAGCATCAAATCAGCCTTGAACTTGGCATAAACAAGTGACACCATTTAAACACAGACCAGGAAGACAGAACTGCAAACAAAAGCGCTAATTTCCTCTAATTTCAAATGAGCCTCTAGTTTGTGGGCTGTCAAGCCTTGGGTGAAGACAGGATGTTCTTTTATGGAAAACAACTAGAGATTTCAAGAGGAGCTTCTGATATTCATAGGCATATGTTTGGGTTCCAACTGCAGTGCCCTTGTCTTAGCTCTCAACTGCAACACCTAGCAAAGGCCATCCTTGACAGTTGTGCAGCAAAGAGTCACCTCTCACTGGTGGTCTCCACGTGAAGACCTCATGAACCAGATAAGCTCTGCCGGAAGTCAGCGTCAAAGAAGGATGCACCTGCCACTCTGGTTAGGAAGGAAGAGACCCAGATGGCTGCCAGGGCCCACCCTTCTGGTTGTGCCTCTGCACTCTGCTCTAGAGAAAATATAGCTTCCATATTTCTCATTAACCACATGGAACAAACTGTGCCTTGGGAATCCCTGAAGAAAATATTTTCACCTCATTGTCCAGACCTTTTCCAAGTGGTTTCCGAGGCTTTTGCCCATTTTCTCTCCTGCCTCCTTTGTCTGGGGATTATATTGCTGCTGGGCTCATTGATGGCTAAAATTTACCCTGCAGCTTATCAAACAACTGTCTTCCTCCCCTTCCTTTGAAGAAACCACTGTGTGACCAGCTTTGTGAAATAACCAAGAAAGCAGACAGAGGCCAGGATACACATGTGAGTGTTCAACCAAGCCACTGTGACCCTGGGGCCAAATTGTAAGAGAAAAGACAGAAATTACAAGGATAATGCCTGAAAGATGCCTTAACATGGGTCCCTCCACCAAATTAAAGGAAACTTTTTTTTTCTTTTTTTTTTCTTTCTTTTTCTGCAGATAAACGAAACATAATGCAGCTGGAGAAATTAGAGCAAAGGATTCCCCGTCCTTCCGTGGGACTTGCCTTCCCCCCACCCCCACCCTCCTCCACAGCATGTGCTGCTATCTTCCCGAACTCCCCCAGAGCCAGGAGAGGCCTTGAGATGCTGAGGATTGTCATTTAGTTCCATTTCTTTGTTCCTTGGTTTCATCTTGTGCCCCTGCAGAAGACAAAGAGAAGCCATTTGTTAGATTAAAGACAAGACATCTTCACAGGCTTAGCAAGGAATACCTTTTTAATACAGCCATTTAAATGTCTCTCACCCCTCACATGGGCCCAGGGATATCTTATTTGACTATCAAAGAGCTTTGGATAGCTGAGCTGTAATTGCTGGCACATGGTATCTTTAAAGAGCATATAAATCACTGCTAATAAATGTATGCCACATTGACAATGAGCTTTGGCTGAGGGGGACGACTAACTCAATTCTTCAAAGTATTCTTTGAAAACTAACCCTGAGTTGATGTGGCTTCCCTTTGCAGGCCCATGCACACACTCTAGTTTCCAGGAATCTGCATATAAATAATAACAATTTTCATAATCCTGCTTTGCAAAAGTGATTGATGGTTACGCCACCACTTGAGACTGTACTTATTAAATTATCTGCCTTGTTCACCACCCATGAGAGAATGCTAAGAAGACATTGTGCCCTGGAAGAGCCTATACTCATTATTTTATTTTATTTTTTTTTGGATTTTTAAAATTGAGGTATAATCCGCCTACAGGAAAACATGCATATTTAAGCACATATTTCAATCTGTTTTGAAAAATGCATACATTAAACCCACACCATCATCAAGATAGACATTATCTCATCACCCCAGGAAGTTCCCTTCCCTACTACCCCACTTCTGCTGGAACGAGTAAATGATCTGATGTCTATTTCCATAAATTAGTTGTTTTCTGCCCTAGAACTCCCTGCCAATGGAATCGTACATGTCTTGGTTATTCTCCTCTGTCCTTCGTGTCTCTCCATGTGTTTTTGATATTACTGCATTTTAATTTGTTTTTTTTTCAATTGTTGTGAATGTTTTAATGTTACTCTTTTCTAATTGTTTTACATCTGCTTTTATCTGTTTCATCATCCAAATGTAGTTATTTTATAAAATCTTCAAAATTTCCTACTCTCTTACATTCTCATAGTGTTAATTGTCCTGTAATTTTACGTCCTGACTCACACTCAAAATGGACCATTTCCTTGTGTGTTCTGTAAATCTTCAAACTGTTAATTCAACTTCAGAATTTGTTTTTCTTTTGCAGAAATTCCATGGGATAGTTTCATATTTCCATTTGCCACATACACCAAGGATCACTGGTCTGTAATCAGTTATTAAGTTCATTTTTCAATTTGTTTGTTACTGCATGACTTTGGATCACATAAATTTGTGTTTCAAACTCACAGTGTTTGAATAATGTGGTTTCGATCTATCATGGGAGCCTTTTTCTTTCCCCATGAACGCCTGGTGCAGATCCAAGTCTTTCTGTTACTTTCTTGAGCTGGAAGTCCCAGATTTATTTATGTGGAGGCATCAGTTCCAGCTCCTTACCTTGAGTGGTTCAGGGTCCAAGATGGGCATTAAAATCCAAGACTGTGGTCATAAAGCCTAACTCTGTATCAACAATCTGAGACTGTGGTCATAAAGCCTACCTCTGTATCAACAATCTGAAGCCCAAAATTTAGTAGCTTATAACATGAATGATTCATTATTTCTCATGATTTTACTATCTGGCCTGGACTCAGGGGGGGCAGTTCATCTGCTTGACGTGATACCTGCTGGGGCCAGAACATTTGAAAGGGCCTCTCATTTTCTAGGACGTTTCTCCATGTGACCTCCTTCATTCTACAGGATAACCCGGGCTTCTTCCAAAGTGTCTGGTTGAGCTTTTAAAGTTCAATCTAGAAGCCACACTCAGTCTTCCAAAGGTTCAGATTCCATAACCATCTTTACTGCCCTCAAATACTCACTGGAAAACATTTACATTTGGAAAGTGTTCCATTGATTCCTTTAACCCCCCCACTGTTGTATCCTTATGGTATCTCTGATTTTTTACAATTAGAAATTATACAATGTGAAACATTCTTGTATTATGTCTTTGAACTCTCTAATTCTATTTCACTGTATTTCTTTAATTTCCTTGAAGGTATGATTCATGGAGCACAGGCTCCTTCTTTCTGTCAAATGACAAGATCCTATTAACAAACCCTTCTGTGTAAATATTGCTGTGGGACTCAGTGATGTTGCACAAATCGTTCCTTCTGCCTCTGTGACAACTGTGTTCAGAAACTCACTGTTGTTTAGGGAGCAGAATTTTGAATGTGAGGTATTTAAGCTTTCCTTTATTAGCCAGGTGACCTTGTGCAAGTCATTTCTGCTTCTTGGAATTTAGTTTCCTTAAACTAATTTTGCACTTTAAGTTTTGATACCTGGCCTGTAATCCCAGCACCTTGGGAGGCTGAGGCAGGTAGATCACTAGAGATCAGGAATTCAAAACCAGCCTGGCCCAACATGGCAAAACCTCATCTCTACTAAAAATATAAAAAATTAGCCAGGCATTGTGGCATGTGCCTATAATTGCAGCTACTCAGGAAGCTGAGACAGGAGAATCGCTCAAACCAAGGAGGTGGAGGTTGCAGTGAGCCAAGATTGTGCCACTACACTGTAGCCTGGGTAACAGAGTGAGACTCTGTCTCAAAAAAAAAAAAAAAAAAAAGGTTTGACATCTGATTAATTTGGGTCAACATATAGATTCATTTTTAGTTTCAAGAAAAATATCATTTTGATAACAACCAAGAAAAACAGATTAATCTTGGCACTTTGTCTGGATACTGGTCACACAGGAGAGTAATAATATCTGTAAGAAAAAAATTCTAAACAAGAAGGCTATAGTTTATCGGCAGCAAAAGGTTCAAAGGAAAGGAAACACTGAAGAGCTTGCATTTAAATTGTTCAGCTTTAGTCTCACTTCATTACTTTTTAATGGAAACTTCTCAACCATATCATTTCTGTAGCTTAGCAGGGTATTTTAAATACATAAAGAAAGTTAAAAAAAAGGGAGAAATGTTTATAAGAACATATTTGTATGAGCTTATATGTTTTAGCAGTCTTATGCTGTACTTGCACTACACAGATACCATTGCATTTAGTTTTAAATGATGTTCAGGACCACACAGGAATAAGATACGTAGTCTTTCATACATTCCCAGGCTTTATTCTTCCATGATGCTGGTGCAGCCAAGCCTCCTATGAGAGTGTAGAGAACCATCAAGAACATGCAGGGAGTGCAAGGAGGTGTGGGAGCAAGGGTATCAACACATCATTTGTGCCCTCCATTCGATGACCCATGATTCATTTGTTCCATAGTTTTTTTTTTTCCCGCTAAATATTTTAAACCAGGAGTTGGAACGGTTATAACAGCAAGTACAGTTTCCTTCTAATTTTTCTCATCAGCCCTCAGGGTATGGAAAAGGATTATAGACCACTCATGTAGTAGTGTAAAGGCAGCTTAGCATGACTAGCTCCATTTTGATCCCTCTGCCCCCGTCCAGTGATATCGTTAGGTTAATTGCTTTTGCTTATCTCTTCATGTAGGGTGAGCTAACTATGGAAGGAATTTAGTTTATAGTTTATAGCAAAGATGACAATAGTCCCTTCCCAAAACTAACCACCAAAGAGATAAAGAGAGTATGCACAGAAGTAACAACATTATGTTACAGATTTAAAGGAGCATTGTGACCTGACCAGTGACAAAGAAGTTTTACAGCTCCCCCTTGGACCCTTGCTGCAGCCCAGATCACCTCTTGACCTCAACCGCCTCCCTCTCCCCTTTCCTCTAAGATAAACGGAGACTCAAATTCTATGAACTTAAGATGATTCTTTCAAACACTAGTCTGCCATCTTCTTGGTTTGCTGGCTCTTGGATTAAAGTCACTTTCCTTGCCTCAGCGCCTTGTCTCTTGATATATTGGCTGCCATGAAGCAAGCAGTATGGCTTTGGACTCAGTCACACTCATCATTCTAAATATACTTTAGTCACTTCTGAGAGATTTAGAATGTTGGTCTGGAAAAACTAAACATGGTCTGGACCAGGCTTTTTATTTTCCTGGGAGTTTCCTGAAGCTCATTCAACGTAACCTTTGTGCAGATGCACAGGTCCACAGGTAGTGGTGTGAAAAAACAGGACCTACGGTGGGCTTGTTTCTGTCTAAACACGCTTGTATTCCTTTATACACACTCCAGGGCAAAGACTGAATGTTACGCTTAAAGACAGATATACCAAGGAACTCAGCAGGTAGCTTCTAGAGAAGCAATGCTTCATAATCAGCTTGGAGTTTCTGAAATAATTTGATCACTCCAGGAGGCCAGAGGATGAGATGAATAGAAACATTTTTTTTTTCTTGTCAAAGCATAGAAAACCAGGGTATGCTTGATTTGAATATGCTGTAAGTCATCTTTCCTCCTTCAAAATTCGAAGCTTCTAAGGGTAATCCTTTCTCTTTACAGTGTGTTACTTGGTTTCAAGATTTTCAAAGTTTATCTCAAGCCATGCTGTGGTAACTTGGCAAAACCAAGGGAAATCCAGTATGTCATTTGCAGATAGTTCTTAGGTCTGGTTGATCCATTGAAAATCTCACCACAGGGGACATCTTACCTATTAGTTGATCTTCTTGTTGACTCTCTGTTGGGTCTTTTACATTGTCAACCTGAGTATTCATTTCAACTATCACGAGAAAAAAAAAAAAGTTAAATATTTATTAAACCTAAATCTCTGAGACACATTAAAATGGCCTGTGATTGGATACTTTACTGATTTCCTATCTGATGCCTCTTTTCCATTTGTTTTCATTCTTTCAAGATTTTGGGACAATTCTTGTAGATTTTTACTGGCGGAGGTAGAGGATAAACCTCAGATGTCCCCTCCAAATGTCACGTTGAAATGTAATCCCCAGTGGTGGAGATGGGACCTGGGGAAAGGTGATTGGATTACATGAATGGTTCAGCGCTATCTCCTTAGTGATGCGTGATTTCACATGAGATCTGGTTGTTTAAAAGTGTGTGACATGTCACCTCTCTCTTGCTTCTGTTCTGGCCATGTGAGATGCATGCTTCCCCTTCCCCTCCCATCATGACTGTAAGCTTCCTGAGGTCCTCACCAGAAGCAGATGCTGGTACCATGCTTCCTGTAAAGCCTGCAGAACCATGACACCATTAAACCTCTTTTATTTTTAAATTCTCCAGTCTTGGATATTCCTTTATAGCAACATAAAAATGGCCTAACACAGTGGAGGAGGGCAGGATTGCTCTTCACTCAACTGTAGAAGCTGAGTTGTCCCTTCAGACCAGATTTCTGTGTTGACAGTTTGGATGTACATATTGTAATTCTTGGATAAATTCAAAGGCTTTAATATCTAAGAAAATAAAGGAGAAGGCAAAGCAAAGCAAATCACTGACATGCAGAGAGGTAAGCAGCTCGCTCCAAAATGTCAGTATCAGGCCTGCTTGGTCTGCCATACTTTCAATTTCAGAATTCAAAACAGACCTTGCAGACTTGCCGATGGCTGCTGCAGTGGCAGTGGGCAGCCGTGAAATAAAAAAGCAGACCATCTAGCCAGATTCCATAATTGTGCTAAAACATGCGCTTTTACTTGACTCAGTGTATTCTATGTGAGCATTTGCATAAAAATAGAATGCATAATTACTGCCATTCTCCAAAAGTAGCCCAGAGCAACCATAGCATTCACTCGACAAATTTCCAAGGGTCAGCAGGTTTAATTAGATTGATATTTTTTCAAGCATCAAAGCCCACATTATAAGCTGAGAGACTGAATATACAAATAGACAATGGCCAGATCATATATGATGATAGAATTCTGACTTAAACCCTTTGTAGAAGTTAGCCTAGGCAACCAAAACACGGTCTCTGCAGCAATTGACTCAGAATGATCAGGACTTGGTCAGTGACTGTCAGTGTACCCATTTTTCGCCCCTGCTTCCAACTTGGGACCAACCAGGGAAAGCCAAATGTATTCCCTCATAGAGTCACTTAAGGTGGCCCACTTCCAGTTAGCCATGTCCGGCTTCTCTATGCCAACAATCTCCAATCAGAGGATGCTTGAAGCTCATTCAACATAACCCTTTTTTAACCTATAAAGGGGGTTTTCCCATCTCTTGCTTACCTTTGAGCCTGCCAAACACAAGTGATAATGGCCACCCTTGCTATAGTTAACTTTGAATAAGTAACCACTGTTTCTCCTCATCTGGGCGGTTTTCATTTATTGGCACAAAACCAACAGCCTAAATCTCTCTTTTAAATGGTGGCAGATGCTGATTTTCACACTTCAAAGAGGCTTGAAAGAGAGAATGACATTATATGGCGTCCACCAAACTCTCTCCCAACAAGGAAGGTTTTAAAAGCAGGTCTCCTTTTTCTCACCTGCAAACTGTCCTGAGTTTCTAATGATGTGTGAACTCATTTTAAACCCCATAAGTAAATTGGCCAGATGCAGCAACCCTATGTAAGTATAAGCATTAATCCACTCTCCAACCTGGTCCACAAAGTTATTGTAAGTTCACCCTTCTCAGTGTGGGAGTGTGCAAGATGAAATGCAGGACAGCATTCCGTTTCTGTTTCTTCTTCCAACCAAGGGATGCCAGTTCTAAAACTTACTAATAAATGGTAGTATAAAAAGCATCCCATCATCAATTAAGTTTGGGAAAAGCAACTCTAAAGTTTCTTTACTTCTAAGACTTCTGAGAGCCTGCAACCTCTACTGCGTGTGCTGAATCTCCAAGTGAGGATAAAAACTCAGTATTTTCCGCATTTACTTCCCTTTTATTCATGGGCCTGAGACTCCTCAAAACCTGATTTGTTAAGAACCATGTCTGCAGCGTCACAACCAAGCCAAAGCACATTTAGTTCAGCTGCTCATAAATAACATGTGGTGGCTCCTAATGGATGGGTCTGGGACTTATGGGTAATGCAGGCCCATGAGTAAAAAGTCAATTTGGGAAATATAAACCGATGGGCTTATAATTAAGGGAGGCAATTCAGGTGATGATAAGCTGGTGGGAGCAGGGAATACCTGGTATAGGAAATTCTATTTAAAACTACAAATATCCACCATTGGCTAAATTTTTTCTGAGGTCATTATCAACTCAAAGTAATTTGTTTTTTTCTTTTCCTTTAGCTAAAATAACCCAAATGGCGAGATACTTATTACATCAGTTACGCTCAAATAGTTGTTTCTCTAATGCAAGTAATGGTATTTCAAAAGGCTCTTAGCATTGTTGTGCAGGGGAAAGGGATTATTAATATTCCTGAGGTTCAGACACTTTAGATGCTGACAAAATTAGATTAAGCTTTTTTGTAAATTTATTTTTAAGGTGCTTTTGAGGGGTCACTATGTTTTTAACCAAGGCATCGAAAGTGATCCAGTGGAGTGAAATGATGAAGTTCTAAGAACAATCTTAGCCCAAACCCAATGGAGCAGGATAACAGTAGGCTAAGTACCTTTTACGGAAGTAAGTGATGCTTCCGTAAAGTTCACTAGGTCAATTTCAGTTCAGTTTAGTCTTGGAATTATCTATTGCAGCCTCGGAATTGTAAGATATGATTAAACCAAGACATATGCTATTTTAAAATAGCTAGAAACAGGTTTTTAATTTTTTTATTTTCATTTTTCAGAGAGGCTGCCATTTTTATTAGTTTCTAGTAGAAAATGGTTTTTGAAATTTACTACGTTCTAACCAAATACGTTGCTTTATGGAACAGATAGCTCCTTTAATCCTAGACTACACATAGACAATGTGCCAGATTTGTAGTCTTCATGGGCTCCAACAGCTCAGAACCTTACCATCAGGACCTGGAATATTTTCTAGGTCACTGGAGCCTTCACTTTTCCCAGGCAGTCTAGGTGTGTCCTTGCCTAGAGCTGAAAGAGAAAAAGACCACAGTCTTTTTAATAGAGTTTAATTAATAGAGAATTATAACAGCCTGAGGGCCAATCATTTCTGTCGCCCTCTATTGCCCTTTTAAATTCAAAAATACTCCTGGGATTCAACTTCTTTTGCAGAAAAGGTTAAAAGAGGAAACAGTGGGTTGAATTGCTTGAAGTGCTCTTTAATTTGTAAGAAGATCACATATTTACACGTATGATTTCTCAAATTAGAAATCTGGTAGCATGACAGCAGGAAACGTTGATTTCCTCAGAACAACCTACAGTTTAAATTTAGGGAATTGTGTCTGTATGCATGGGTGGGTGTGAGAGAGAGTTTATGTAGCTTAACCTTAGCCGAGGAAAAAGTGAAAATGTATTTTGCCTTAGGTATGCCTGAAAGCTGAAAGATTCATTCTCCTAGTAGTGAGAGTTTTTGTTGTTGTTGTTGTTGTTTGTTTTTTAAACAAACGAATGGTTTAGTTGTTTCCTTAGGAGACCTCTAATGCTGCCATTTTGGATTGCTGAGAATTTTAGTTGTTTGTAGATTTCCTTTGTGGCTGGACTCTATTTGCACAGCTTCCTAAGGTGCTTTAATAAGATGCTTCCAAGTAAAAGAATTGTGTTTCATATTGTAAAAACATTTCCAGGTATTCAAAAGGACAGCCATTTCTTGCTTCTTAATCTCTCTTACATTTTTACAACTTGAAGAGCAAGGACATTTGTAAATACAAATGCATATATAAAGTGCTAGAAAACCCATAATTTTAAAGGTTTTATGGTTCCTGTACATTTTTAAAGGGAGGGTTAAATTTATTGTCATTACTTGCTTACTTACTGTGCCCAGAGTTTGTTAAACTTCATGTGCCTATTGGTAAGAAGGAAGCAAGGAAAGGAAAGCTCCGGTTTATAATCTCTTCAAAGGAAGAGATCTTCAGAGGTGGAATTTGTACTCTTAGTAATGATTTACTGAAGCTGACAATTAAGAAATATGATTCGAAGGTGACTGGGCTCTGAGCTTAGGTAGATGAATGGCAGAGAGGTCATTAATGGGCGACATATAAAACAAGCAGAGTGGGAAAAGCAGCAGGACGTCTGAAGGGCAGGAGCATTAAGTGAGATATCAGACAAGTTTTGCATCTAGCACTAAGGAGAGAATTATGAGGAGATAATTATGAATTAAGCATATGAGTGTTTGGGAGACGCCAAGATAGAGTAACATTCATAATAAGAGAGTAGTTGAAAGAATTCAGGGAAAGGATAACACAAGGGAAAAAAGGACTCATGGTCTCCTCAGTTCTTCAAGGACAAGACGAAAGTCACTGTGTCCATAGTGCTTTCCACTGGTTTCTGAGAATGAGGTAGAAAAGGAAAAACAAAACTTGGAACTTCCAGCTGGACTTGTCAGCACTATGTAATATCTTTCTCACACTGCCTCTTCTAGAAATGCGCCATTTTTCAATTGCTCATCAACATACTCCTTGAACACACAATTACAGAGGAAACCATTGGTGAATTCCCTGAAGCCCGGGGGCAGGAAAACTTTGCTAAGTATGCCTTAGAACATGGAAATAATAGGGAGCAAGAATGAAATATCTGACTTTATAAACATAATCAACTTGTTAATGAAAAAAATGTTTAAAAAGCTAAAAATTCAGGGAAAATACTTGCACCTTTTATCACAAAGTGCTACTAAAATCTTTAATATATAAAACCTTCTAAAAGTGGAGATGAAGAAGACCACCAACGTAATAGGAAAATGGGCAAGAGATTTAAAAGACAGTTCATAAAGGAAGATATACAAATGGCCGATAAAACACATGAAAAGGTAATTCAGTTTGCTAACAACGAAAGGAATGCAAATTAATATTACAACGAGAAAGGGATTTCTGTCTAAAATGTGCTGTCATGCTGCAGACTAAACCTCTACCAAGAACAGCTAGAAACAGCAGGTGAGTGCCACGAATGCAGGACAAACCTGAGGAAATGAAAAATGATGAAGCTGACATGAAACTGTCTCAAGAAGTTGAATAGAACCTGCAGATGTTTTGTGAGGCTAGGGGCAGGGAGCAAAACTTGAAACTTGGGGTCTACCAAGGAGAGGTACCCTGTTAAGTACCTCAGGTTTTCAGTGGGGTCCCCCGAAGGGTTATATCCTGAGGGTAAGGATGAATGTGAAATAGACCAGCTCTTTAAAAAAAAAAAAAACCTGAAGTCTAACTTTTAATTAATAAAATTCCTGATTGAATTATAGTGCTCTAGTCTTTCCTACCTGGCTGTTGGAAGCGAAAGTAAATCTTCTTTGGAGGAAGATTAAAAGCCTCAAGTTTATCTCTACAGTTTTTCAAACACAGTAATTCCAGCGTTCAATACAAAAATTACCTGGCATTTCAGAGGACTAAAAACAAGTCACTGAAAACCAGGAGAATAAAATAGATGACATATGGACACGCATCAGAGATCCAGGTATTACAGATGCAACTTAAATAGCGATTAATATATATATTTTGGAAATTGCATGCCAAGTTGAATAATTTTTATGAAAATGTAATTTATCAGAGAACTGGATACTTTTTTAAAAGTCAGATGAAAATTCTAGAACTTACACACACACACACACACACACACACACACACAAAGTTAAGAATTTGATAGGTGATTTTGACAGCAGGTAGACACAGTTGAAGAGGAAATTAGTAAGCCAAAAGTTGGTCAGAAAAATACATAAAGCCTAAACTGCAGATGAAAACCACAGATAAGAGTGAAGGAAGTATATGAGATAGGATTTACCCTATGTAAAATGGAGCAAAAGGAATATTTTAAGAGATAATATCTGATAATTTGCCAAAATTAATGAAGGACATCTCAAACCAGTGTTTCAAGACTCTTATGATTCCCAGGCAAGATTAATGAAAAAAAACTATCACTCAGTCCAATCATTGTAAAACTACTGAAAACCAACATTAAAGAAAGAACATAAAGTTATCTAGTGAATAAAGATCCATTAACTTCAAAATAACAACAGTAAGACTTACAGATAAATTCACAACAAGAATAATGAAAGCCAGAGATAATGCAATGACATCTTTGAAATGTTAAAGAAAAAACCTTCAAATTTGAATTTGAACTAAAATATTTTTCAGAGAATACAGCTGAGAGAGTTTGGTATCCGCAGACCTATGCTGAAGAAACAGTTTCCACTACACTCAAAAATAGATTCCAGGTAGACTATGGAACTAAATGTGAAAGGTCATGTGGACAAAGACCTTCACATCATTATGCAAAGCTTTCCAACAGTGGACAGAGCACCAACCATTGGCGCAAAATAAGCCAAAGCACTCCTGTACAGAATATCTAAGAAATAAACATAGAAAAGACAGAGACAGACATGTCACAAAAGAGGATATTGTGGCTAGTCAATTATTTTCAGTGACTGTGACCAAATCTCATAGCATTTAAAATCCTTGGCTTTTTCACTAGTAAAATGATTATAAAATATTCCTACTCATCTTAATTTCTTGGGACATTATCAGAGCTATTCAAAATATAATAATATTATTTATACAAAATGATTACTGTTGAAAAAAATTAATTGATAAACTCTATCTAAACATTACTTTCTTGATTCTTTTCTTAGGGTCCTTGTTTGTGATGGCATCTAGGGGTACCTATAGCTGATTCTTTCAGGGAATATCTTTCTAAATTGTTACTCTCCATGGTAATAACCCTGGTTACATTACTATGGAGAAACCCTTCTGGTATCACAGAGAACTTTCAGTCTAATAGGAATAATTCTAGTCTGCTAAACAATGCTCAGTGAAATAAGAGGCTACAAAACACTTTCAAGGGCTACATAAGAGAGAGGAAAAAGTTGAAGAAAGCAAAATGCAAACGACAAAATAGTGAACATTTAAATTTTTTGTTCTATGCTTGTCTTTCTAACCTCATTTCACAATGGAATGTGTGAGAAATGTGCCACTGTATTAGCATAGATTAGTATGAGATTCAATGGCAGATTTGGAATCTATGAAAGAGAGAGAAAAAAAAACAGAAATCAAAGTTGTTGCTCTGTATACAGCTATATTCCTGGAAGAGAGGGAAGTATAGTCCGTCAGATCTGCTTTCCAAGATTCCAATTCCATGGGATCTTGAAAGAGATTGTTCATTAATTTCATGTCATGAGTGCACATGAGGTTTTCATGTATGTGTGTGCATGTGCTGTGAATATGTGTATGTGTGCAATGGTATGTTTATGTGAATTTGCGTGTGCACGTGTGTGTGTGTGTGTGTGTGTGTGTGTGTGTGTGTTTGGAAAGAGAGAGGAATGACAGACATTTCTTAGTCTGACATGCATGTGAAGCTGGTACTATCCTAATAGCTTCTACACTGCTGGGCAGTGCAACTGACTGCCCTACAGAAATGAATCCATTTCACATATACAACATAATCTGATAAAAACAAAATGGCCTCTGTGGCCTATTTATTCCAGTTTGCCCCTCTCTCTTTCCATTTTGATTGCTGCTGGTTGAAACACAAACAAGAGGTACATTCCAGAGCTCCTAGCAGGGGATAAAAGATGCAGAAATAGAAAGAGTCTGGGACATTCAGTACCATTTTCATTTTCTGTCAACAACTGCAGCCCTTGATTATAGCAACTTTTTCTAGGTTAGTGGAGTTACATAAAAAGTGATGAATGAAGCAGATGTCATCATAGAAGAAAAGATACTGAGATGCACACAGAATGTACTTAACTTGACTTTTAAATGCATAAACAAGGAGAGATTTTGGAGGAGTTCTTCAAGCTTCTCTTTTGAGATGTGTATTGACAATAAACTTCACACAACAAATAGAATTCCAAATAACTATTTTGCAGAATCTATAGTTGCATAGTTGATATGATAGGTACAGAGAGCAGGGCCTGTCTGAATTCAGTTGTATTGAATTAACGTGGTATTGACCCAAAGCAAACCTTCTTGAACCACCTTGACAACTTTTGC